TATATATATAGTCCTATGTTGCTTATAAAAGTGTTATCTTGATCTAAATATCCATCTGAGGCCTCATCAACAAACCTGAGTGCAGTCTGAGTAGGACAGTCTCAAACCATTAAATGTGAGTTGAATCATAATGAAATCACTTGTCTGCAGGTAAAATGTGGTCAAATATCAGCAATTACATGTAGGTCATCCAAAAGGGTTGTTTATAAAAAATAGGTAACAAGGCTCAGTGCCAGTGGTTCAAGTAGCTAAGGCGCCAGCCACATATACCTGAGCTGGTGGGTTTGAATCCAGCCTGAGCCTGCCAAACAACAATGACGGCTGCAACCAAAAAATAGCCAGGCAGTGCAGCAGGCGCCTGTAGTCCCAGCTACTTGGGAGGCGGAGGCAGGAGAATCGCTTGAGCCCAGGAGTTGGAGGTTGCTATGAGCTATGATGGCATAGCACTCTCCCCAGGGCGAAAGCTTGAGGCTGTCTCAAAAAAAAAGATAGGTAACAATAGAAAAATGTCTATGGTAAAAGCAGAATAAAAAATGTTATGTTCAACTGTATTTAATTTTATTTATTTATTTGAGACAGAGTCTCACTTTGTCGCCCTCAGTAGAGTGCGGTGGCATCACAGCTCACAGCAATCTCCAGCTCTTGGGCTTAGGCAATTTTCTTGCCTCAGTCTCCCAAGTAGCTGGAAATATAGGCACTTAACACAACGTCCGGCTATTTTTTGTTGTAATTTGACCAGGGCTGGGTTCGAACCCACCACCCTCAGTATATGGGGCCAGCGCCCTACTCACTGAGCCACAGGCGCCGCCAGTAATCTAAGACTCTTAAGCCCAAGCGATTCTCTTGCCTAAGCCTCCTGAGTAGCTGGGACTACAGATGCTTGCCACAATGCCCAGCTATTTTTAAGAAACGGGGTCTCATTCTTGCTCAGGCTGGGCTCAAACTCCTGAGCTCAGGCAATCCACCTGCCTCAGCCTACCACAGCTGTTCAACTATAGTTAAATAACACACACCTGGCTGGGCACAGTAGTTCATACCTGTAATCCTAGCACTCTGGGAAGCCAAGACTCAGAAGTTCAAGACCAGCCTGAGCAACACGAGACCAGTCCCTATTAAAAAAAAGAAAAACTAGGACAGCGCCTGTGGCTCAAAGGAGTAGGGTGCTGGCCCCATATGCCGGAGGTGACAGGTTCAAACCCAGGCCTGGCCAAAAACTGCAACAAAAAAAAAAAAAAGAAAGAAAAACTAGCCAAAACTTGTTACAGGCTCCTGTAGCCCCAGCTATTCTGAAGGCTGAGACAAGAGGATCACCTGAGCCCAAGAGTTTGAGGTTGCTATTAGCTATAACACCACAGCATTCTACCGAGGGCAACAAAATGACTTTGTCTCTAAAATAAATAAATAAGTAAATAACACACACCCTGTGTATAGTTAAGGAGCAAGAGCGATCTTAAATTGGTAGCTCATTATTTCTTTTTTCTCCATTTTACAGATTTAAACACATGTGCTTGGCTCATTTTTAATGAGAATAGATTTGAAAGGAAAATCTATTAAGGAAAGAAGGAACAGAGGTGCTAACCACTGAGTAGGAGTTAGTCCCCCCAGGGAAGTACTGCATCCACCCAGGATGGATATAAACATGTAATGGCCCCACTCCCTGACCCCTTGCCCCCACCAAGGAGGATATCTCTTGTTGGCCTTGTCTTCGGTCAGATGCTTGAAGTTCAGAGAGCAGCTCTGAATGAGCTGGTCCAAGGCCTGCTCCATGCTCATCAGCTCCTTCAGCTCCTGCTTCAGCTGCTGCTGCTTCCCTGGTCGAGTGGGGTCTTCAAATATTCCCCTGCCTCTGGGAACAGGGAAATCCCCCAGTGTCAGTCTCAGTCCACATGCAGGGACCCCAACCCTAAGGCTGCAGTGCAGAGCTGAACAGATGGCGTGGGTGAGACTCCAGGATGAGGCCATTCAAATGGTCTGTGAGGGTTTCCCCTGGGTCATGGAATTTAGTGGTCATGCTTAGCCCCCAGGGAGCTGTCAGGGATTGGACCTGAGGAGTAGAGCCAGGGAGCATAAATGAGTCAAGACCTGAACCCCGGGGCAGCGCCTGTGGCTCAAAGGAGTAGAGCACCGGCCCCACATGTCAGAGATGGTCGGTTCAAACCCAGTCCTGGCCAAAAACTGCAAAACAAAACAAAACCTGAACCCCACTTCTGGGGGACTCTTAACTCTGTCCATCCCTATGCCCCAGCCCCCTTTAGATGGCAGGGAACTGGAGCTCTGACTCCCCTGCCTGGCTTCTCTTAGGGTTCACACCAGGGAACAAGTCTGCTGTTTAAGGCCCAGTAGGAGTGGAGAGAGGCTGGAGTAATGTATCTCCGAGCTGGAAAGAATCTGGATTACTCCTACTTAGCTCCCAGGAGACTTCCTATGCTAAGAGGGGATCTTGGGACCCCTGACTCAAGAGGAAGAATGCAGGGTCCTCTTAATCCTTTACCTCTCCTACAACTTTCTCCACTCTGTGTCTCTCTTCCACCCCTCCTCAAAACCACCCGCTCGGCTCGGCTCCTGTGGCTCAAGCGGTTAAGGTGCCAGCCACATACACCTAAGGTGGCGGATTCGAATCCCCAGCCTGGCCCGCCAAACAACAATGGCTGCAACCAAAAAATGGCCGGGCGTTATGGCGGGCGCCTGTGGTCCCAGCTACTTGGGAGGCGGAGGCAGGAGACTCGCTTGAGCCCAGGAGTTGGAGGTTGCTGTGAGCTGTGATGCAAGGGCACTCTACCCAGGGGGATAGCTTGAGGCTCTGTCTCAAAAAAAAAAAAAAAAAAAAAAAAAAAACCACCCGCTCCACTTCCAGCATTAAGCCTATTGGATGTTGCTCTCAGCCCCGCCCCGACAGTCACACCCACTGGCTATTGCCCCGGCTCCGCCCACGGCACAAGCACCCATTGGATGGTGCTACTGGCCTGCCCTGGCACTCACACCCACTGGATGTTGTTCTTGGCCTTCTTGCGGATGAGTTGGATGCCCTCCAGCACATTGGTGATGTCATAGATGCGCCGCTTCTGTACGTCCAGCACCTCAGCGGCCCAGTTCAGGTCAAGGACCCCATCCTCGGACTCACTCAGGAGGTAAATAAATTTCTTGGTGAGCAGCCCCAGTGACGTGTCATACCGAGTCTTCTCCCCAGGGGACTTGGGGGCTGAGGAAGAAAGGGACCCAGTCACAACTCAAAGAGGGACAGTCCTTGGAACTTCTTCCACTGACCTGGACCTACTGAGTTCCACCTTTCACTGGCTTTCACCATCGGCTTTCCAGTTTACAGAGCACTGTGAGGCAGGGGGTCACAATATCACCACCACACCTTTGGGGAGCCACACCACCACACACAACTATAATATAACAACGCATACTATGTGCAGGTCACTGTTCTAAATGTTTTCCATATACTAACAAGTTTAACACCCTATAAGGTGAGTGTACAATCATCCCCATTTTGCAGATGAGGATACTGAGGCACAGAAAGTTGTAACTTGCTTAGCTCACTCCACTAGAAAGTAGCATATCTGGAATTCAAATCTGGACAGTTTGGTTTCTTTCTTACCCATTACCCTATTCCTGCTAATGATAGGTCAGAAATTTGGAATTAGGGCAGGGAGAGAATGACCAGCTTGGACACAAGAACATTTTTATAGACACACATTTGCTTTTGCTCTTGGAGACAGAGTCTCAGTATGTTGCCCTCGGTAGAGTGCTGTAGCATCACAGCTCACAGTAACCTCCAACTCTTGAGCTTAAGAGATTCTCTTGCTTCAGTCTCCCAAGTAGCTGGGACTACAGGCGCCCACCACAACACCTGGCTATTTTTTGTTGCAATTGTCATTGTTGTTTAGCAGGCCCTGGCCAGGTTCGAACCCTCCACCCCAGGTGCATGTGGCCAGCGCCCTTAACCACTGAGCTATGGGTGCTTAGCCCACATTTGCTTTTTCATGTTCAACCCACTGATTATCTAAGAAGAAATCAGTCCACCAGGGTAAGTTCATGAAAAAGATCCCTTTCTCAATGAGGTTGATGTTGCAAGCCCCCATCTCAGCTGCAGCATCTTGAACCACAATGAGACTTTTGCAATCAAGTGACTTCCAAGTCATATAGCAAGTTAGTGGCCAAATACTACTGGAACCTGAGTTTTAAAGAGTCTCAGATTCCCTTAACACACAGATGGCAAGTATTTAGCACACAAGCTGCTTTGTCAGGTTTTACACCCATGGCAGACATTACTAATGGATCAGTGTACTTTTTCCCACTGGCCATTGTGAGCCTTAGGATCCTTCAATAAAATGATCTGGCAGCCTCTACCAATGAAATGGAGAGGAATCCTTGCCATTCCTGACCAACAACTAAGGTTCACAGGAGTGACCAGTCAGGTTGGGACAGAGCCTTCTTCATTTTGTCTACAACCCCCAAAACTAGAGTTCCTCCCAAACTCAGTTGCTTATACTCTCCTAACCAGGATATTGACTGGAAACAGAGCTTTAGGAGGGCACCCCCTGGCCAGCCTCTGGATCTTTTGTTGTTGTTGTTGCACTTTTTGGCTGGGGCTGGGCTTGAACCTGCCACCTATGGCATATGGGGCCGGCACCCTAGTCCTTGAGCCACAGGCACCGCCCTCAGCCTCTGGATCTTTTTTTTTTTTTTTTT